TTTTTTAAAAGATGTTCTGGATGGCCCCCACCCTGCTGGTGTTTGAAGGGCCTTGAAGACCTGGCTCTTCCCCCAGGCCTTTGGCGAGGATGACCAAAACCTCTTTAGACTATGTGGGTTATTTTCTTTTGTTCCCATTTGGTTTGTCATCCTGCCATCTTTACCCTTCTTTTTGTCTCTTGAAGTTTTTCTTGTTTTTAATGTTTTATGTTTTAAATAATTTATTAACAGCCCAAGGTCACTGAGAGTCAGGTGGCATATAAATTTAATAATAATTATGAAATAATTATTTCTATTATTATTATTGCTATTATTATTAGTAGTAGTAATAGTAGTAGTAGTAATATCCTTACCAAATCTGTTTTGCAGTTAAGAATCACAGACTATAAAAGTTCCCTCAAAGAATATCATGATTAGATCTCAATTGTAGGATAATACAGACATTTGGAAAAGACATTAACCTGTATTAACCACTCATACGATGCCACGATTTTTACTCCCCATACCCACAGAACAAGAATGGAAGAAGAAATCACTCTGCCCAAAAAAAGGAAAGAAAAGCAGCTTGATGTTTTATACTCTGGCTTATTTGCAAACTAACAAAATATGTATAAAGTTCACTATTGGCTAATTTGATTGGGGGTAATGAGAAAGAGATCCAAAGCCTCAAGTTAGCATTTTTCTTATAGCACATGGGGGATGGGGTGTAATGGTATGTGGGAATGACCTTGGGAGACAGGAGGGAGAGCTGCAGACTGGACAACCGGCGTGCAAAAGAGTTCTCAGCCCACCAAAGGAGAGGAGCTGTGGGAAGCATTTCAAAAGAGACCCTCCCTAGTTTTCCAGAGAGTTAAAAGAGAGGAGGGGAGAGATTTCAGTCTTGCAAGATTCTGTTGATGTAACCTTACATAAACATAGAGTTAATACTCATGGCTGTGCTTCTTGTCTGGACTACCTCAGAGGGCTATCATGGAGAGATATCCCACTCAATGACAAAATGGAGCCACAGCCTCTCAAAAACACACACACACACACACACACACCAGCTTCACTACCTGCTGCCATACTGCAGCCGAGCTGGAAATAAATTAGTTCAGTCCCTCAGAAGAACGTGGAGGGCAGGAACTGTTTTCTGACTGGCACAGAATCCTTGTATAGGAGGGTGAGAAATTTAGGGAAGCAGAGAAATAGTGGAAGTATTTCAACGTGGGCAAACAGTGTAGACATTACATAGCATTTCTTCATATAGAAGCAGATTGGCAAATTTTAATTGCCATTAAGACATAAATAATATAGCCTATGGACTTGTCTATAATCTGGTGAAGCACTGAAGAAATCCTTAGCTGGTGTGACAGTATTTTAATCTCTAAATTTGGCTTTGTTTTGGCCAACTCAGGTTTGTATAAGGTGAGTTTTTGGTGATATGAGGAAGAGATGTCTGTCACTTTGGCATGTTAATAGCTTTTAAAATTAATAATTACACATGAAGTAAGGAAAAATACAGGGCCTTCATTCCCAGCCTCTCACTGTTAGTTCAGATCTTGATTTACTTCAGCGTTTAGTACAGGTTCACTTATTAACTCCATTATCGCTCTTCTAAGAGACTCTTTAATGTTGTTTCTATGCTCTACCTGATATTATGATGGTTTTAGCCATCTTTTTTAGTCATAGTATCATACAGTGTATCAGATGGGAGGAACCTAATAGGTCATCTAATCCAATCTCCTTCTCAATCAATTACTGATTATTCCATTAGATTGCTCCATTGTTTACAGCTCTAACCATTAGGAAATTTCTCCTAATATTTTACCAGAAATTCTTTTCTTTAAATTCCAACTGTGCAATATCTACATGAAACTATTGGAGGAGGTAATTCATTGGCATGGAATGTGGTATCAGTATGCTGTACCTAGATACCCAGCCGTACATCTGTACACGTGGCTGAGCAGAGGGTGCTGTTCAGGGGGTGCTGCTCATGCTGGCTGGGGAACTCTGGGAGTTGAAGACCACACACCTTAAAGTTGCCAAGGTTGAGAAACACTGCTCTAGAAGCTGTGAGGGTCTGGATAGGGAGAACCAGCTCTGACGCAATGCTAGCAAGATGGGGACCCTTTGGGTCCCTTCTCCCCACCTCAAAGGTGTCACTTTGAGTCTTGACAGGATAGCAATTCCCCAGACAGAGCTGGTTCTCAACTTGGGGTTCTCAAGGAGCAGGTGGCAACCATCGCTAAGGTGGCAACCATGGCTAAGGGGCCTTTGTACAGATCTATCTTGTGCAACAGTTGTTCCCATTCCTGGACTGGGAGGCCTTGCTCAAAATTACTCAAGTCATGTCACTTCCTGGTGGATTACCACAACATGCTGTTCATAGAATTGCTCTCAAAGACCATCCAGAAATTACAACTGGTCCAAAATGCAGCGCCGTGCATACTTTTGGATGCCCTTTGCTTTGCCCATATAATACCACCACTGCATGAGCCGCACTAGCCTCCAGTTTTTTCCAGGTACAATTCAAAGTGCTTGTTATCACCTTTAAAGTCCTGCGTGCCATAGGGCCAGGTTATTTGTGGGGCTGCCTCTTCCTGAGAATATCTGCCTGTTTCACCAGGTCAGATAGGGTGGGCATGCTCCAGGTCTCTTCCCTTAAAAGTTATCATCTAGTGGGACTGAGGAAGCATGACTTCTCGGTAGCGACCCCTGTCCTGTGGAACACCCTGCCTCCTGAGATCTGGCAGGCCCCTACACTTCTAGCCTTCCAGAACGTCTTAAAAAGCTGGCTCTTCCCCCCAGGGGCTGGGATAGGGTGAATCTCAAGCCCAGTGATTGTTGTTATTGTTATTGCAATGTTGCTGGAGGATGCTGGGCTCTGTTTCTGTTTTGGATGATTTATTTTTTATTTTTTTACTTATTTTACATATTTTTGTTGTTGCTGTGAGCCACCCAGAATTGCGGTAAATAAGATGAGTAGCCATATATGTTTTATAAAATAAATAAATACAATCAAGACTGTGTTTCTGTTGGCTACATTATCATTTTAGGCTACCAGATTGGCCATGTTAAGAGTAAAAACATAAAAAGATGGTAATGAATTCTGCTTATTTTTTATGTATTAAAACATTTTGCTAATTGAAAAACAGGTGAAAATGTCAGGTAGAACAAATGAATATTCTGATCATGAATTCTAGTGGACTCTTCTTTAATTTTTTAATGCAAGTTATATGAGTACAAGGATACTAAATTCCATTATTTTCATGCATTTATCTTGGTATCAAAGTATATCATTATTGCTCTTGATTCCTTTAACATATTTTGTGTGTGCGTGTGTGTATAGGTAAAAAGAGATCTCTATTTTCTAATATGCATATAATCCTAAACAGTTTCAGAAAACTATGCACATAAACTTCCCAATGGTAAGCATTATTAAGGGCCTATGCCTTTCAATGAGATTAAAAGAGATGAGGGAGATGTGTAGAACCATGCACATTTCTAATAGAACTATTAACACCTTTTGAGGAAAGAATATTGGAGAAAAGAGTTAATCCTTCTCACTTTCAGTCCCAGAGTGGATTCCATTTATTTCATAATATTATCGACTAGTTGATAACATCTAATAAAACAATGCTTTCATTATTCAGTTCAGTTAGCTCCTTGTTTATTTGGATAGATTATATCCTGAATGAATAAACTATGAGGAAACAAAGGTGTTGGCAAGCAATGTAGTATATATTGGGATTTCAGTATCTATTAATATTTTACTTCCTTTTCTTTCTCCCTCAAATTACTCTAACTTGTGTCTTCAATCCCCATTTTGAAATGTTATAGCAGAAACATAGAAAAATAATAAGCGGCTGAGACACCTGTTGCATTATCAAATCCCCTTTTCCCAACTTGGCATAATTGCAATGTGTGATGCAGAGGCGTGGCACAGCCAAGTTCAAGGAGAAACAACTAACCAAAATGCAAAGCAGATCCTGGAAACAATCTTAGTCCAACAAAGAGATTGTGTTGCACTGATAAAGGAATGCAGGAAGCTGAATATATCCAGCAGAATCAGATGTGTAGCTCTTTTTGAACTCCTTTAGTTTGGAAAAACCTGGTCAGTTGCTGATCGATTCCTTCTGTTTTTAAAAATCTCATTTGAGTTTTAAAAGTCACAAGAATCATGTGATTCTCCCCCCATCCTAGAACTAGTAGACCTAGATATGGGGGAATCTGGGGAACACTGGTCTAGGTATTCCTGTTAGTCTTACATATGGCCATATTGATAGATCCACTAATGACAGTAATTATAGTGACAGCCTCCTTCTTATGTGAGTGAGATGATAAAGAACCTTTCATGCTATTATTTATGATAAATAGTTCATATTGAAAAAATTGGAGCTAGAAAGAGTTGATCTAATCGTGGTAGGACAGGTGAACAATATTTTGGTGACCAATGGATAGCTATGGACCACAAAGTAGGTAGGCCCAGTTTATTTTTAAACTATGGTTTCACTCTTTCAGAACATATAGTTGTCCATTTTCGAACCCCAGTTGGCTGCAAACTGTATAGTCAAGAGTGGCTTTGAGGGGCTGCAAAATGCACTGTAGGTTGCCCATCCCTGTTATAAGCCCCATACATAACTAATTCTAGTTATGTTATAGAATAGTTATTCTATTCATTTCTTCTTCTTTACCTAATTTCCCACCATGCTCTTCAAGTATGGTGGGATTATAACTCCTAGAATTCCGGGCCAGCATTGACCAATAGTATATCTGGAGGCCATGATATTCCATGAGTACTAGAATGACCCTGCTGTAGAAGGCTGGATGTGACGACGACAACAGGAAGAGGGGGAAGAAAGAAATGGCAAAGCTTTTTGTATGGTCTGAAGGCTCCTCTTACCTCAAGTGCCCTACTCATGAGACAAAAATATGAATAATTTCATCTCAAAATTGTCATCACTTTCTTCTGAATGACCATGAAGAGAATAAATTCTTTTCTTATTATTTTATTCCAGCTCAGCAACATTCCCCATTTGAGGCTTATAGGAGAAGACCGAATCCCTCCACCTTCTTTGCTGCAGCCAAACTTTCAGCTATGATAAATGGAAGTGATGAAGTGTATGCAAACCGCATGGTGGTGGGTCAGGTAAGATTGACAGGTGTATATTGAGGTTAATTACATGCAGCTATTGAAAGTATGTGATTATATCAAGTTATGGAATTCCACAATTAATATTTATTTATTTTATTTCAAGGGGAGACAATGGGGGTGGTGTAACCTGTTAATGTACATACTTATTAATGAAAATGTTTTGGCCAAAATTAGGTGCAAAACCATGTGTGCTGAAGTCCCATTGATTCTAGAGGAGTTTCACATAATTCTACAATAGTTTGTGGACTCTGCTTTTTTCTCAAATTTGTATAGTATTGATACTTTAAAAAAAAGTTTCTGGACTAAAATGCTCTATTTTTTAAAAGATGAAGAGTAAGATTAAACACTTTTATTTAAACAGGATACCAAGAACTTTGCACTTAGTTCTTCTGAAATGGCTCTTTATCAGTAGTGTACCATTTCATTTTGGGACTGATTGATGTTAATTCTTATCAATTATAAACTCAACAAGAATCTTTTAAAAGTGAAACATGAAGGACCTGCAACCACTGGTTTGGATTTGCAAATCTCAGCCTCCTTCCTTCACTCCACTTACCTACTGAGTAAATTGTATAAAAATGTCTTCTGTGTACTTCTTTCACCATCTGTGTGCTCCCCATCTCTTTCTTTCCTGCACCATTTGTCCCATTCTTCTCTTTCACACCTTCTCTTCCTCTTTGCCTGTTTCACTCACACATACGTACCCATCTGTTTTGTGCTTTTCTCTCATATATCATTCATCTGCATCTCATGCACATGTGCCTTTCTCCCGTGAGCCAGAGCTGGGGAACCTTTGCCCCTCCAGATGTTGCTGAATCACAATTTTCAGTAGTTCTATTGGGAAAGCCAGTGATGAGGCTGGAGTTGCTGTTCAGCATCTTCCAGAAGGCTATATTTCTTCTTCCATGTCATAGACTAATAGGAATCTTTGTCCATACAGTTTAGTGTAGTCTTACAGTTAGTGTATGAGACTACACTAAATAAATATAAATGCTAAACAGACAATATACATTTAAAGTTTTTAGGTTCAATGTGATAATAATAATATAAAATAATAATTATAACATCTTAGTTTTGTTTTTACTTGTTTATGGTGTCTGCTTTCTGAGGAATTACTATGTTTCTTTCTACTTCTGTCGATTGAAGATATTTTTATATCATTTTGACACCTGATAATGTCATTATAGATATTGCGGGAATGAATTCTACCTTGGAGCATAGCACTGGAAGTATATGTTAGCATCACTATGTTCCCGATTCCATTGGCCTTTTTCTATTGGGATCATTAATGTCTCTTGACAGTTCTACAGACTGAATTTAGCTTTACCTCATTTTATATTATTTTGTATTTAACATTAACAATTTTATTTTCATACTTTAGATGGAAGATGCTGGTGTCAAGTATATTAACAACAGCCAGACTACTTCTGAAACTAACACAGCTTCAAATAAAGATCCAGAGGTGTTGGAAAATATTCCAAGCAACAGAAATCTATCAACACTTATGATACCTGGCTTGGATGCAGCCGGTTCTTACATGCCACTAAAGAAGACACATGCTCTTAGTAATCTACGAAATCATCGTTATCCCTTTATTAAAAAACGAAGGTGTGAAATAGGTTTTGATTGCATTGTTATAAAAACAACTCTTTTTATGACTGATCCTAAAAACAGTAAAAATTAATGAATCACATTTTCAAAAAAGGAAATAAAGTACCAACTGATAAGATCTGCACCTCATTTTTTATTATGTTCTGCTGAAATTATAAAACAGTGAGAATTTTGATGGGTCATTTCTGTAATTATCACCTTAATGCTGCTTTTTCTGGGCATTGATTTACTAGTTTAGTAACATGCCAAAAGAGCAATACAAGGTAAATAGGGATTTCCTAATTCTTATGTGTGTTTGTCCTATAAAATAAACATGGGTTGCAGGGATTTGGAAAGGAAAAGGAATATGTTGGATAGGTTTCCAAAACTTTTCCTGCATCTGTACTGCAAAAGCACACCCATGTTGGTTTTAATGTGCTATTGTTTATCTGTTCTCTGATAACACAACTAAGCCCAAGTGGTCAAAGAATGATTTTTACAGAGTTTTGTTTCCCTCCAGAGGAGCATACTAAAAATCTCCCATCACTGTTTTTCTGTCTTTGTATTCATGCTGCCAGTGCAAATGTGAGCTTTGGAATGTATTTGCTGATGTATTTTTTATTTTTGACCCAAAAGGTTATACTTTGATATTCAAGGAAATACTGCCTTTTCCCCAGTGTGTAAAGCATGCTTCTAATTTTTTAGATTTTTTTAGCTATTTTAACAATTGTCAAGGGTAGGTAGGGGGGATGAAGGGGCAACACACTTTCCTTACTGATGTATAACTAGTTTAAGTTACTCTTGTAAATTATCATATGTTTGTGTTCCTTTGCTCTCAGTTCCAGTCTTGATGACTTGGATGTTGACAATGGAGATGAAAGAATGTCTAACCGATCTTCTTCAGTGTCCTACAACTCTTCTGCGGTCTTGCCTAACAATAGTGGTAGGTTAAGTGCTTCAGAGACCACCAGTGGACTGGACGGTAGCATGAGCAGAGCTGAATCTCTTCCTTTATCCAGCAGTTTACAGTCCAAGGTATTTATTATTGTTTTGGTTTTCTTATAAAATTAATAACAATTATTATTTGAAGTGAGAGCTTATCCATACTTTTCTCAAACATGCCATATTATAATTTTTTTAGTAATTGGAATTTACTAGTAAATTTTAGTAAAAGGAATTTTCCATAAATAACAGTGGTTACAAGAGAAATAATTATATATTTATCTAGTTAAAATTATGCAGTTAAAAAAAAACATTTGTAAAAACTGAAAAAGAGATAAGACAATTTTGAATTATGTTGCTTGCTTTATATATTTAGGAATCTCTACTTTCGGGAATTCGTTCTCGTTCATATTCTTATACTTCACCCAAAGTCTTATTAGGGAAACCACAATGTGCCCGGGAATTTATACAATGTGATTCAAATGATGGTGAGCACTGATCTTTTTAACATCCTTATATTTTTAGAGCAAGTTAGCATGGTTTATTCAGCCTCAGATTAACTTCAGAGCAGGATATTGTGCTTTTCATATAAGAGGAAATCTTTTTTTCTAAGTGAGAATATTCAAATTACCCACACATATTCTATCATCTTCTAAATCAGGTTTATATCTAACTGTATGTGAGAAGATAGGCAGGATAACTGATGCAACTACATTTTCTCCCTGTATTCTGTACCTTGCATTTGTGTACAATTTAATCATATATTATTGAGGTTCCAGGAAAAGGGAGAATATTTGCTTGTTTGCTTGTTAAACTCGCCTTTTGTTTAGGAGCAAATGCAGCTTACATCGGGCTCCCTCTTCCCATTTTCCCCCACAGTTGTCTGAGGTAGGCTAGCCTGAGAAGGAGAAAGCCAGCTTCTCTGGCTGAGGATGGACCTGGGTCTACCCAGGGCCAGTCCAACACCTTAACACACTGATATTATTATTGTTGGTCGTGCAGTCAGCCAGATGTTTAGACTGGATTTAGCATTTTTATCCACCTATCGAGTCCTTCCCAAGGACCTGGGATAGGCAGATGTTGTTATTCGATGGTGTTAAAGGTATTGTTGCAGGATGTAAGTTGTTCCAAGTAAAGCTGCCTTTTGCAGTTGACTGAGGTGATTTTGTCAGTGCCAATGGTCTTCAAGTGCTACTCCAGATGTTTTGGGATTGCACCCAAGGCGCCTATTACTATTGGTACTATCTTTGCTTTCTTTTGCCACAGTCGTTCTATAATAATGTTAGTATACAATACTTTTTTTTTAAATGGAATGAATAAAAATGAATTTTTAAATGGAAATATTACGCTTTCAACAATAAGTGACTGTTACGGTATGATTGCTTTAAACCTATTAATTATTGTTTTATAGAATCACATGCATTCAGCTTGCATGAACAGTCAGAAAAAAGGTATGTTTTTAAAGGAGGTATATATACATCTAATTTGTTAGTAATAACCATCAAATAGATGCAGTTTAGTCGGGAACAAAAATGTAAGAATTTCAGCATCAATCAGACATGCTACTTGTATTAACTTGTGATGGCTAGATAAAATGCCAACATGCAGTGATGTGGAATTTTTCCACATTTAAATTAGATATAAGAGTGCAGATGTTTATTTTTCTTATTTTGTGACATCTCCTATGATAGAGTCATATATTATTATTATTATTATTATTATTATTATTATTATTATTATTATTGCCTTCAAAAGATGCTAAGATATTTACTGGTATATTTTTAGGATTCAAGAAGAAGAATGGGATAAGTACATTATACCAACAAAATCAGAATCTGAAAAATATAAAGTTAGCCGAACATTCAGTTTTCTAATGAATAGAATGGCCAGTACAAGAAATAAATCTAAGGTAATTTGTGATGAATGCACTCTAGTAAAAAAGAAAAAGTAGACTAACACATGAATGTTGAATTGTGCTTTCAGTTAAAAGATGGAGCATTAAAATACAGTTCTTACTGGAGATTTTCTAACTGGGAAATGAGAAAGATTTCCTTTGGAAACACTGGGCTGCCTTACTGAATAGAAAACATTTTCCAATTGCAAGAGTTTTTTTTAAAAAAAAAGCATAGAAGGACCATTTAAAATAGTATTTTCCACCTACAGTGAAATGATAAGATCCTCTACACTAATTTAGGACTTATCATTCCATTGTCTGAAAATGCTAGTTTGGTCATATATTGGCTGAATAAATAAAGAGGAAAAGGGGCAGAATTTGATAGAAGGAACAAGATCAGTGTTTTTGGAGGGTTTGCGCCAAATATCTCTCTTCTGATTTTGGGACAGTTTTGGAACAATTTTATTTAACTGGTTCATGTCAATATTTCTTCAGTCTACTGCTGTTTTGGTTCCATTCTGATTTTCACAAAATCTTCTTTTGGAAAAAGTCCCATACATGGTCCTATGTAATCATACTGATATGTAGGTATTCAGAATTGTCTTAAGATGATCCCTACATCCCCTGAGTGATATAGCTTTCAGAAAGTACTGAGCTCATCCTCAGTGACTATACACTTTTGTTCCCCTTTCATTACAATATCCAACACCTCCAGATGCAAAGATGTTATTTGAATGTATGTTGTGGCAGGTGGTTCTTCCATGTTTACATAAACATGTAAAATATGACATCTATGGAATATTGATCAACAAAATGGAGAGGAGTGAAAAGATTATTCATTGCTTCTTTTGAGTGGGGGTGGTTGCTTCTGGAGATATTGACACTGTATCACTTTGAAAACTAAATGAACCATTTTTATTTTTATTTATTTCTCGTTTTGGTTGTTAAGGCAAAAAGCAAAGATGCCAAAGAAAAAGAGAAAGTTAACAGACATCAGTTTGTTTCTGGATCTTATGCTGGGGTAATGCCTTGTTTCACATGCGAGAAACCACTTTTGGGGAAAGAATCATTGCAGTGTTCTTGTAAGTAGCTATACTTTGTTTTCATAGGCGTTTGCTTTCCACAACTCTATTATAGAAAGTTGCTTGTATGCTGTAGATTGGTTCCAAACTTAGTCATACGTAGGACAGATCATAGACAAATAGCCACAACTGACAAGTTCCCTTATTTTTGTGGGATTATTCTAAGCATAACATATTCAGTCCTATTTCTTGATTTGAAAGTAATTTATATTCTGCTTAGTTCAAGATACAGTGTTCATATCATAGGCTATGATGCTACACTTCAGGATTCATACATAAGCACATTGGAGCTTGTCTTGTCCTGAGTATATTGACAGGCAGCAGTTCTTCATGGCTTTTAGGAAGAACATTTCTAATTCTGAGTGTTGGAGACTGAATTTGGAACTCCGCCCACTAAGTTAAAACCCATAAGTCTATCATACCACCGGCTATAGTGATCTCTTAATTAGATGTTACCAACATGATAAAGCCATTATTAACAAATTAACATATTAAATATGATCTAATTTTACCTCTGCCTAGAACAGTTGTTAGATTTATAGAGTTTTCCATTGGATGTTGCCTTAAATCAGTTTCATCTTTATATATCCCCAAATTAAATTTAAGAGTTGCAAGTATTTTCTTTTAGGAGCCAGAGAATCTGTTTAGAAATTACAAGGCAACACTGGTGAAAGGATCTCAGAAATCAGCTCCATCCCCAACCCTCCCCTTGACCTCAGCCTGCATTTCTTTTTTTTTATTAGTTCCAGTAGATGAAATGAGCTCAGAGTTTGAAAGAAAAACACCTTGAGGAGATATGTAAGGGTGCTGTATGAGCAGGGTTTAGTATACCTCATTCATGCTTATGTTTCTTAAACAAGGATCACTCTGTCTGAACACGGTTGGGGCTGAGGTGAATGTAAAGAGGCACACCAGTTTCCAAATCATGGCATATTTGAGGGATCACATTTCTCCAATTGTTTCTGCCTGCCTGGTATATTCAGGCAGAGTGCGTATGTTCCAGTTCCCCTTTATTAAATGCTGTCACCTTGTGGGACCAAGGAAGTGTGTCTTCTCTGTCGCGGCCCCGCCCTCTGGAACAGCATCCCCCCCAGAGATATGGACGACATTGTCTCTCCTGGGATTCTGGAAAGCCCTTAAGACCTGGTCTTAAGGTCTGGGATTAATGTATTTGTGTGGCCCTTGTTGGGCTTGTATTGTTATGGTTGTTTTAGTCTGAGCTGCCAGGGTTTATTTTTCAACAGCTTTTTGATTTTGTAACAGTCTGTTGGAGTGGGCAGCTATAACAAATTGAAATCAGTCAATAAATAAATTTCATCTAGTTTGGTTCTCAAGGTAAAACAGGATAATATAAACATAGATGGGGCTGTTCCCTTGGTGGCAACATCCTGTTCTGTATGATGTGTGGTTTTGGCCTAAGATCCAAGACATACTGTACTTCTTTATCTTTTCAGTGAGAATTAACCTGATTTTTGCCTACTTGCATAACTTTTCCAACCCTTTTGAATTAACCAGTCATCACAGCTGGAAAACATGGTAGGACGGGGATTACTTCTAGATAGAAATAAACACTTTAAAGCTGAGATTGCAACTGAGAGAACTTTTCTTGCTCGCTTGCAGATTGCAGTGCAATTGTGCATAAAAGTTGTAAGGACTGTGCTCCTGCATGTACAAAAGTAAGTTTTAAAGCGATCACCTGGGGATGTCATTGCTCATTGTTACATTTTCTTATTTCTATCTTTGTATACTGCCGCCTTGTTTTATGTAATTATAGTATGAGAAAGCTTAGACTGTAACATACCAAGAAGTTTATATTTTATTGGGTATACAGGTAATCCTTGCTTACTAATGGTAATTGGGACCCAGAACTCCATCGCTAAGCAACACAGTTGTAAGGTGTGATGTCATGTGACTGCACTGACTTACGACAGCAGTTCTGGCAGTTCCAGTTACTGTTGTTAGGTAAATCCTGCACAGTTGCAGTGTCCCGTGGTCATGTGATCATCACTTGTGACCTCCTGCTGGTTTCCCCATTGACTTTACTTGTTGGAAGCTGGCAGTGAAGGTCACAAATAGTGATCACATGATCGCATAATGCTGCAGTGTCATAATTGTGAGCTGGTTGCCAAGTGCCTGAATTGCCATCATGTGACTGTGGGTATGCAGTGATGGCCACAATTACGAGGACCCGTTGTAAGCTCCCTTTGTTCAGAGCCGTCATAACTCCAAACAGTTGCTGAATGAGTGGATGTTAAGCGAGGCCTATGTGTAGTTTTATGCTAGAGTAATAATTTCAGTTAAGCGTTTCAAGTGAGTAACTTCTTGATGTGTAGAAAAAAACCAAGGCATTGTTCGTGGCAGTAAAGTCTTTACAAATAGATAAAGTAAGAGTAACTAAAATTAGTATTTGCCTAAACTCTCTTGCTTAGGAAGCTTGTTGCTTTGTTTCTGCACTAAAGGTCACTTTATTTGACTCTTTCTGTTTAGGCTTCTTTAATTACAATGACTTATCCTTTTTATAGCTATGTTTGCTTACTGTGGTTTGCTAGACATATGACTAGCTTGTATAGTTGTGACTAACTTATATAATACCTCTTGCCATGTGGGATCAACTAAAAAAAATCACGCAAACTTGATCCATGGCTTTTTGCATGAAGTAGAAACCAGGAATGCTGGCTTATTATAGTAAGCCAAACTTGGAAAACATACTTTTTATCTTGAATTTTGATATTCTCTGGAAGAAATGAGTGAGGGATTCTGATTCATATGTTGTGATAAATAAACAGTCACAGGAATTTGTCCACAATTGTGTTTTGTCCACGACTCAGACTTGCCCCATCTCTCTCTGCCTCTGTCTCTCCTCATATTCCAGTTCTTGAGAAAGGTTGTGTGTTTGGGCAGATGATTTGATTGCCTTTGGGGACTTGGAATTGGCTTTTATGGTGACCATAAATTAGACTAGTGAAGTAGTTGCTTCAAAATCATTTGCAGGAGCATAATAAACTGAGAGTTGAAATTCAAATGAAACCCAGGTATGAATAGCATCATCTTCCTGTTTTGTTAAATCCAGAGGCTGAGTTTATGTTATCAAGTAGAACAAAGAGGAATACCGCCCCTTGGTGTACACCAGTTAGAATGACATAAAAGGGCATCAATTCAATATTATTTGCTTTTCCCAACACTATTATTTGTTTAAAATATGTCAAAATTTCTAAAATACATGTGATTTATAGTAATTATTGTATCTGGTACATTAGCAAAACTCTAGCAGTTTGCAACTTCACTATTAGGGTTATGTGAAAAACAATGCATCATAAAGGAGGGTAAAATCTTTTGATAAAATATGATCACAGATGCATAGAAGTGTTAAATCATCTTTTATTAAACCAAACAAATAAGTTTTATATCTAACAGAATAAAATTCATATTAATGAAAAACATTCTTCTTTGCCAGAAATTGCAAGATAGAAGCCATGTTAAGAACAAGACACAAACTGCCCAGACAAGTAAGTCAAATAGTAAGAAAGCTAAGAGGTCTAAACTGTATGTCTTCT